TTTTTCGACAGACTTTTCATGTTTCTAGCTCTTTCTTTTTTTTTTTTTTTTTTCCTCGAGATTGATTTGATTATTGGCAAATCAAAAAATCGAGGGTTTTTCAAACAGTATAGTTATCTATATATATATATATATATATATATATATATATATATATATATATATATATATATATATATAAATTAACCGCTGAAATGTAAGCAAAACAAATATTCAATATTACGGTTTGACTCATGAAATAAATCAATATTTATAAATTGTTTAATTCTGTCTTTGATAAGTATTATGAACTTCTATATTTTTGTTAACAATAATTACATGTGTTTAGAGTTAGATATATAATGTCTGATTTTGCATACACACATATAGAGATAAAAAAACAAACACACTATGCACGCTCAATCGTGCGCGCACACAGACACACATATACACACACACACACAGATGATCTGTCTAAATATTTATACTAAACTATTTTAAGGGATAATCATAAATGTAAAGTGATCTCAGTGATCAGCCGCATGTTAAATAATGCCACATATTACACAATACTTTGTAAATACAGAGAGATAGATAAATATTAAGAGAAAACTAGATAGATAGATAGATAGATAGATAGATAGATAGATAGATAGATAGATAGATAGATGAAAGAGAGATATTAATATACAACTACATAGAGAGAGAGATAGGTAGATAGATATTGACAGACAACTCGATAGATAGATAGATAGATAGATAGATAGATAGATAGATATTGACAAAGAACTAGACAGATTGATAGATATTAACAGAACTAGATAGATAGATAGATAGATAGATAGATAGAGAGAGAGATATTAATATACAACTACATAGAGAGATAGATAGGTAGAGAGATATTAACAGACAACTAGATAGATAGATAGATAGATAGATAGATATGAATAGAAGGAGAAATACGTTACATCATATTTTCGGATTCAATTTAACAATAAAATTGTTTTAATTAGTAAATTCTTCTGGATATATTTATACCATCTATATTTCAGTTTATAATTCCTGAACTTATTTGAAATATTTACAATAACTTCTTTGGTCATGTACGATTTTATTCTGCAAGTCGCGTGTTATTCATCATATTGCAATTAAATCTGCATACACTAGTATAGTTATTGATAATCTTCTTTAGTTTCTTCGATTTCAACTCTATGTTTATGGCCATGGTTCATGAGAATGGTATAACATCAAAGGAGGAAAAAATGATTAGAAATTCATTGATCGATGTGGACATAACGCTAGAAATTGTGAAAAAAAAATGGAATCGAGATTATAGAAGAAATGAACAAAAAAATGAAAATATTGGTAAGAAAAACAGAGTTTCCAAAATGACACAAAATGAGATTTTAGAAGAATTAAAAGGTCGAGTAATGGATAGCTCGGATTGAGGAATCGGAGAGCCGAGTTCGAATTCCAGTCGAATCCATTACATTCACTTACGTGCTAATACCCTTGGGAAAGGTATGAATTATGCGTAAATAGCGAGACAGACCGAGTTCTATCGCCTTGGATGGCAACTTGTCTACCACAGAAAGAAATGGCAACATACTGCGGGAAAAAAATCTGCCTCGTCAGTCAGATATCGAAAGATACATGATCGCCTAAGCGTGTATCACGTATGGCACATAACTGACTGAAGCAAAAAAGTTGATTGACCAGCAAGAGAATACAGGGTGACCCCCCAAAAATGGGAATTTTTGAAGTGCGTATTGCCAGACATGTGCAAGTGGCAACACTGAGAGACCGTCACCTTGAGCAAGTAAACATTTCGCCATTTAGAATTCAAGATGAAATTCACAGTATTCCAGCTGAGATGTTGCAGCAGTCAATGAGAAATCTCAACAGCAGATTTCAAGAATGGATACGTACAGGAGGACGCCATCTACAGGACGTAATTTTAAAAAATGAAAATTTCATCATTGTTTCTTAAATGGCATGTTTTAAGGTTTCAATTACTATGAATAAAATATTTTTCTTCCATCACTCTTGGTTTTATTGGATTGTTAAAAAGTTCCCGTTTTTTGGGGGTCACCCTATATTTGAAGAAACTGGTGTTGCGAATGTAAAACAGTGAGAAAAGATACAGAACGTTAATGGCATAGACTAAAGACACGAAAGATCCGAGCTGGCTGAAGTAGTACATGAAAATTGATTTGCCAGTAGTCCAATAAATTGACCACGACATCTGTTTATATTTCTGTGATGAGGTATTGTAATTATTTACGCTATTTACATTGATCTAAATGTTGTCCTCATGCACTGAGACATTAGGTTTATAAGTCCCATACACTGATGTCCGCAAGGTCACGTGGCCTAGTGGATAAAAGTTTTGGTTGAAGCGTAGACTTGGCCCAAAGAGTGAGTTCAATACAAAAAAAAAAACTTGTTGAGTTAAAAGGGAGATAACTGATTCTGATACCTCCAGAAGAGGCATGGTATGCGGAATTAGAACAATCTACTTCGGTGGTCGAAATCAAGGATTCAGTTTGAAATTCCGATCAACTGAAGAAGTCCGGAGCGTATATTGGCGGAAACGTCGTGAATACGGCAACAAAGATGACAGTCCGAACAATGTAAACAATGTAATTTGTATAAATATATTGGACCCGTTGTTAATTTTAGAAACGAATTGGCTGGACCTTTTAGGATAGTGTTTCGCCTCCTTCAAATAAAATAGTCAATCGACACGAGTAAGAAGGAGGGTGTAGTAAAGTTTGGGGCTAGTATTGCATGTTGAAAGTTGATGGTGCTGTCAGAGATTTATTTTAAATGCTTGAACAGGAGACATTTTTTTTTTTATTGGTATTACTCTCAAAGTTTTAAACATGAAAGACAGTATTCATTCACACTCTGCAGTGGTGAGTATTACCTACCTTACCGAATAATGTTTCAAAGACCTCTGAAGAGGAACTTTGTGGAACCGACTCCCAAGAGGGCGCTTTCCCAATCACTGCAATCTTAACCTATTCAAGTCTAGGGTCAACCATTATCTTCCCCACCTCTTCTCCTAATCTGTCTTAATGTGTAACTTTCTACATCGTATAGCTTCTGGGTACAGGATGAATAACGTTATAAAAAAAAATAAGATTAATCAAATGAAGCACCTAGTCTTCTCAGATTATCATACTTATTATAAAACCCAGGTTGTGTGTGTGTGTGTGTGTGTCTGTACGTTTATATATTGGATCGGATTTCCTACATTTTTCAACCAATTTCAACAAAACTTCACCGAACTACGTAAAATTACCTTGCGGTGGTTCTGACAGTGCCAAATATGGGAAAAACACAATTGTTTTTGCACGAAATCAATTTGAAAACACGATTAAGACATCGCGGGAATGAAATATCGAGTTATACTTATTATAAAACCCAGGTTGTTTGTTGTGTGTGTGTGTGTGTGTGTGTGTGTGTGTGTGTGTGTGTGTGTGTGTGTGTGTGTGTGTGTGTGTTTTATATATGGAATCGGTTTCCCTACATTTTCAACCGATTTCAACTAAACTTCACTTTTTTTTTGCAGGTAGTGTTTCTTATTGTCTTGCACACTTTTTTCTTTATTTTTACATTCAGAATGCTTTAAAAATTCCATTCACAAGACAATTGTTTATAATAAAATTCTATTCAATCGGTAGACCCATAACGATTGAAAACAATGTTTTTGTTTGAATTTGGGTTTGACCAATTCGTAAAAAAAACAAACAAACAAAAAACTAGTTAAGACATGCGTGTCCGTCAACCTTAAACAATAATCTTTATGATGGTCGATACTTGATCTATCTCTTACTGCTACATCCCCGGGCAACGCCGGGCTCTACTGCTAGTATTCTAATAAAATAAAATAAAAAAAAACTTGTCCGTCATTAAAAAGAGGTGGCTATGAGAACGAAAAACAATATTCAAGCAAAGAAGATCCCTGGGAAGCAATAAAAACTACTACAAGTATTCTTAATTTGAAAACAGTTGAAATGTTAGAAATAAACGTTATTATGTGTGCGGCAGAAATACCTCCCATGCATACCATTCAGAAATAACTTTTGCATAATGGTGTGATATTAGCTAGATGAAGACACCATTGAGACTGATAGCTTACCGTTATATGCGAAGGATATTTTTTTATAATCAATACCCCACCACGTTAATCAAGATGACAATGCCACTAAAACACCAGAGGCTATTGAGAGTGAAAAAGAATGAAAAGATTTTAGAAGGAACCGGAAACAAGGGATGAAACTCTACTCCTGTTCAGAAAATCGGGGAGAAGTGTGAAACAGAAACTAGCTAGACCTACTGAAGTAAAATTAAAATAAATGAAAAATAGAGTTTTTTAAAAAAAAAAGTAAATAAAATTTCAAAGTTTAGGCAGATTTGTAAGAAGTATAGAATTGTAGATTTTAGAATAAAACGAAAAGCCAATCATCCTGGGTATAAAATAAACTACATCCCGCAATAAACTACATCCTCAGATCGGGGGGTTGTGAGGAGCGTGAAATCACCTCTTAATTACTGCTGTTCCCAGATTCACTCTGACCCAGGGTGGTAGAACCTGTTAGGGTGGTAGAACCTGTTAGGGTCCCAGCTAGGTGAAAATAGTGAATACTCAAACTGCGGTCAAAAAACAAATATAAAAAAACGCTGGAAATAATTACTAGTAATACATTTTCATAGTAATAAAATATTTCCACTAATACATTTCGAGGGGGGGCGGAATTACCAAAGCTCACAAAATGAAATTTCGGCATTAAATGGCCCATAAAAAGTTCATATGCCGTTAAATAAAGCAAACCATAAAACCAAGCGAAAACCAAATCTTAAACAGGAAAAAAATGATAAAACTAAAAATAGATAGATAGATAGATAGATAGATAGATAGATAAAGAAAAAAAAAAAAAACAATGGCTGAGATATATAGATAAATAAATAACTGTATAGACTGAGAGAGGGACAGATAGATTGACAGATACGAA